GATGAACTGCTGCTAAATTTGGAGCAGACATTTATGCTCCTTTAAATGTCATCAATTCTGCGTTTCTGATCATTTAGAAGGTCAACTGTGTTTTGAGAAGGTTTTAACAGGTTACAATTTGTTTTAAACAAACACAAAATTACTTGCATCCCTACCAGCCTTAGCAACAGTGCACATGCTAATACTGTTAACATGCTAAATTAAGATGATTAAGAAAATAAAGATTACAATGACATAATCTCTCTTTTTAAATGGGACATATTTTGCTCTGATCCTTCCTTTTTTCATCACCATTCGACAGCTGTCTTTAACAAGCCCGGCCTATTCCCTTGGTGCTATCCTCCCTTTAAGCTAACTTTCTGCTGTGTGGCTGAGATTACTATATTTAGAATATCTGCTCTTACTGACATCAGACAGAGCCAAGAACAAACACAACAGTGTCAAATCAAGCATTCAGAGCAGTCTAAAGCCTTATGTGTACAAAATCTGATCACACTTTTTAAAACTCTGGCCGCTGTCTTAACGAGCATAAATAATTTCAACAGAACACATTTGATGTAAAATAAAAGTATAAGAAGGCCAATTTAACTTCAGTCACGTAGACATCACATTGGTGTTAGCTGTCTACAGCATTATTGATATCTACTATTACCACTACAATTTATCTCAAATTTCAATGTAGGAACGGGAGTCTTTTTCATTTTACCTACCCACCCAAACACACTCCTTATTCTGTTTCCTCGTTAAGATTTCAAAACATTTCAAATATGGCGATGAATCAAATCATACTGTATATGCCGACTTACAATAATAACACTGTAATCAAATGCTACACATCCTTTAGTCAATCCTCTCAGGCCACTTGAATATCACCACAAATGATCCTCAGACTTCCCAGGAATCAGCCTGTAAATAAACCTCCCTCTGAAGATGACAGAAAGCCACACTGGGGAGCGTCCAAATGGAAACCAATACATAATCACTCTGACAGGACCAAGGGTTCAATTATTTGTTTTCCTTGCCCCCAAAAGTTCATGTCAGATGGGTTAGCCATTGGGGCTTATCCATTACCAAACTCGATTCTTCCCCCGGTCCACAGGGGCAGAGCAGAGGCACGAACAGCAGCTCATTTCTCTTTTTGCAGTTTATATCAACATTTTTCACAAAATGCATTTTTGCTGTTCGTACAACAATGAGAGCAGGAAGAGAGAAACGAGGGGTTGGAGTTGACTGAGCTTCCCTGCTCAGTGCTCAGTTTGGCTGCAATCAGTCAGCCTTAATCTCAGAAACACATCTGTCACACAGAAAGCCCCACACTCCACCCAAACCCAGCCCCCCTCTCCCTCCACAGTGAAATATTGATTAAGTGATAATGGACCCTTAGTGGAGTGTATTTATTATGCATCAGTTGTCGATAATCCGCCAAAGTGAGCGAGTAAAAGGTGACTGGTGGATGTCTTCTCCAATTTCTTGAGCTCACCCTGCCTGCCTCACCACCACCACCACCACCCCTCCATCTATGGTCCTCCAAACCCGGCTGTCTTTCAGATAAACAACGCTGATGAATAGACAAATTTGATGGTTTCGGTCGATAAGGCTTCCTGGTATTATTTATTGCTGGGAATGGACCGTGAAGCTACAATGTTTGGAAAAATAAAGACTGAAAAAATAATTTCATGCAACTCAATGTAGA